CTCGAGGGTGGATCCCGACTTCTGTGGGCTGCTTGTGCCAGGCAGGTTTAACCTCCTGGTGTTTCTTTAAAACCCAAGGTACTTCCCAAAGCCTTTTGACTTACAAAGCAGATGTTCAGGCCGAACTGTTGAACTGGAAAGTTGGGAGTGCACAAAAACCCTGCCTGCAGCTTGGAAACAACAGACTGTCCCTTTTAACTGAAGTGAAACCATAACATTGTTCCTTCTCAGAACCACCCCCTGCGCCCCGGCAGAAAACCTCCCACGGCTTTGTCCTTTCCCCAGGGTTTCGTAAGCGGAACTGCTTTCCCTTCATCCGCTAAAATTTGGAAAAATAGAAACAAACACTTTTTTTATACATATTTTTTTAAAAGTCCTGTTCCTGCTTGGAGTTCCTTTTGGGCTAATGTATTGTTGACCCAGGCTTTTAAATTTGGGGGTCATGGTTGCATGACTTAGCCCTTAAAAATCACAATCTCGGTGAGGCACGCGAGGCCCAGCTCCTGCGTGAGCCGTCGGGCTGCCGCCACGTGCCCGTGGCTCGGGTTAGGGTAACTGCAGGCCCAAGTGCGTTAGAGACGCGGGCTCAAGTCCGGTTAGGTAAACCTGCGGAGAATTCCAGCCTGGGGGGTTTAATTAAAGGGGTTTTTTCCCCCTTTATAGGCTGAGCCCATGTGAGCTGATAATCCTTTTCTCTTCAGCTTCTTAAAACCTCAGACGTTTCCTCCAACAGACACCTCTGGGAGTGAACCTGGGAGAGAGAACCAGTTGGAGAGCTGCTCCGAATCGGTGGGAAAATCGCCCGCCGTTTTGGCACGAAGCCCTGGCCCGAAGGACGCTCTCAAGAGGAAAAACGCAATATTGCTTCTTTGGGGCTTTTTTGTTTTCTTCGGCAGCGCAGCCCTGGCTGGACACGAGGGCTGCCCGGGCTTACCAGGTAGGAGTTCTCCACAAGCACCATATCCGTGGGCTGAAGTTTTCCAAGGATGTGTCTGCCTCCAGCTCGGCTTTGCTTGGAGGTTTCCGCTGAACCAGCTCAGCCCTTCTGCCAGCGAGGCTGGAGCTGGAGTTACCGCACCTTCGGCAAACACGGAAACGAGCTGGCGATGCCTTTGGCAGCGCACGGCACTACATCCCGCCCTAGCAGCGAGAGGAAAACTGCACTGTTTGTCCCCCCACCCTGAACGCTTTTGCCTTGACGGACGGTTCTTTGTCTCACCGGGGTGCCAGGCGCCTTGGAGGAAGGTCTAAAACCCAAAGAAACAAAATGAGCCTGGAAAGAAATGAGTATCTCAGCCCGTTGGTGCACAGGGTTATAAAAAGGTCTCATCTTTTGAATATGGGGATCCAAACTGCACCTTGGAGACCTCCTCGGCAGCTGAGAGGGGAGGGACAGCCAGGCCTCCCAGCAGGTCATTCCTGAGGGTCGCAGCCTGGAAGCCCAGCCAAGCCCAGCTCACGGAGCTCAGGTGTGTCCCCCTGCACCGGGTGTTGCGGGGGGAGGAGGGGTGTTGGCAGGGCTGGGTGTGCAGGTGGAGATGCCCTGTCGGAAGGTGCTGGTGGCTCCAGGGAAGCGCTGTGTTGTGGTTTTGGGGCAGGGCACCGGATCTGAGCAGCTTTCACTGCTGCCTGTCCAGGTCCCAAGATGCTCGGGGGGCTGGGGGCAAGCTCGGGGCAGGGGCACAGTGCAGACAGGAGTTTCAGTAACTCTGCTTCGAGTCCTCCTGCTGCCAGGGCAGCTT